TATCGACTGTGTAACAAACGAAGAAGAAGCCACTAATTATCCAACTGAATTTTTGAGCACAATTTACAACTGAAGGTTGGCTAGGTAGTTATTATGCCTAGAAATTTAAACCAAACAAATCTGTGCAATGGAACGCGTTTAGTGATCAACAAATCACAGGGCCAATCTACAGTCCGAATCTCAGCTTTTTAGCTCTTCAACTAACGACTTCTGGTATATCGAAAATGCATCCGATTTGCCACGAGTATGTGTTCTCTAGCTTCAATAGCGCCGAAAAAATTGCAGTAAGACGCACATTGCACAAAACCAATAGACTCGTTTTACTTCTGTGAATGAGTATAATAAATAGAAGTGATTCTACGTGTAAATTTAAGATGTTTAATTGTAAAACACACAATTCACTCTTTTAAAAAATAAGAACAAGTTTGTTATTTCGATCCTACCAGGAGTCGAACTTGGAATGTTCTAGATGCGTATCCATTGGCCCACAGGACGAGTCCAAAACTAGAAACAAAAATATTTTTGTATATTGAAAATTTTTACATATATTCTAGATTTTATCTTTTACCATAGCTTTAAACTTTTTCAAAGTATTTTGAATGTGCTACTATATTTTGCATAATATTCTGGCTGTATGTACGATGAAGTACGTCCCCTTTAAGCCGAAGTAAGTTGTCCCGCAGGCGAGACCTTGCAAACAAATGTAAGAAGTTACTTTTATGCTGTCTTCGCAAATGCAAATGGCATGCCATTCAAACAAACAGAAATCATATTATCCATACGCCCGTTCGCCTTTCGAGCTTCGCCATTCGCCATTCCCCTATTGCTTTAACCACCAAAAGCAATTTTTGATTTTATATCACGAAACGCACCCCACTCGAAAAGTAAAAATGCAACGCTCTGTGCTTGCACATTTCGTGCTTGTAGTCCAATCCCAATGGGACTCGTAAACACTTTTGGCCAGCACGCAAAAGGAACATACAAGAAGACGGTAACGGTGTAAAGCTACAAAGGAGGGTGCACCCCAATATCCCAGCTCCGACAATTGCCAATCCTTGACCCGTCATAACGTTCTCTCCCCAGCATCGACTTGCTTTTTCCTTTTGACAGCTCAGTTAAATGAGATATGCTTTTTACATTTTTTCGATAAATTTCGTGGCACCCCAGCATTCGTAGCAGTGGATAACATTATTAGCGCAAAACTTTGCCATAAAAATGGCAAACGGATTTACGCAACGCTTAAAATTGAGATTTACTGTTAGTGAAATTTATAACAAACGAAAGAAAAAAACCCCTGCAGCGACAAATTTAAGGAGAAAAACTACTTAAGCTTCGAGCTTATCAAATGACATTGATGAATGCTTCGGGCAATTAACGTGAACCACGCCACAATTGTATAAAAGGCAGGGTCTGTCACTGCATAATTCACAAAATGAAGTCTTTAGGTATCGCTCTTCTTTGTCTCCTCGGCACACTGTCGCGGGCGCAGGAGCAGGAGAGACTAGTTCAGATTGAGAAGCCCATACCGGAGGAGGAAAATCCGTTGAAAATTTTCCTTCCAACATATTCAACGGGTGATTTTGCACTATCTGCATCTGTCAAAGTAATTAATGATAATACTTTAAATATTATAATTTATTGGAAATTAATTGTATACTTTTATGAAAACAGCTAAATTGGTTCCAAGCTGAAGCCACCTGCGCTTCTCAAGAAGGATATTCCTTGGTCACGTTAGACAGTCCTGAAAAGCATGAACGCGTATTTCTATTTTTGCTCAATTCGGGTTATTTTAATCTGCTTAACGAACCCGTTTGGACGTCAGGCTCGAACCTGGCCAACGCTTCTCAATGGAGTTGGTTCAACACTGGAGCTGCCTTAAAATATCGCAAATTTCAGACCACACCCAATTCCTCGTACCGCTGCCTTGGCCTTGCACGTACCGGTTACTGGATTCCTGAAGATTGCTATGCTCAACGCTTTTTCGTATGCGAAAAACGATGCGAAAAATGATTGGATTCAAATAAAATAAGCGTATTTCTTTTACTTTTCTGCTGATCTATAAAAGATTTATAATAAAAGGTTCTGATTGTAATAAATCTTTAATTTGATTTGAATTGTACAATGGTTGAAACATATGTAATAGGCATCAAATATATATAACCTTGAACAGGGCGGTGGTCCGAGTGGGTTTTCTTTGACCTTCAATCGCTCCATAAATTAATTTAGTTCTCACAGATTCTTTTTGCTACCCTGAACCCATTGAAAATGGGAAATCAGGGTATAATGGTTTTGTTGAAATGT